GTGTGTGTGTGTGTGTGTGTGTGTGTGTGTATTTGCACATGTTCACATGGCTGGTGCTTTCACTGTAAAAGCTACAAAATGATCAGTTGTCACATTTATGACCCCTAGAGGAGACTTCGCTCAACTGCCAGAGTTAGTCTGGTTTGTGCTCTCTCCATGGTCCTGAACCAGCAGGACATCAGGTGTCAAAACCACTGCACTGATTTAAAAAACAAAGAGCAGAGAGTAAAAATGAATATGTAAAGAAATATGTCAAGAATTTACTTTTTATTATTATTATTATTATTATTATTATTATTATTATTATTATTATTGTTATTATTGATAATATAAATAATAATAATAATTCTGCCTAAGGAAAGATGGCTGTTCACGCTGTATTTCTAGTCACACCAGCATTAAATCAGAAATAACAGAGCTGACATACTGACTCTGTCCATGGTCCTGATATCCAGTCCCCACTGTACTTACGTCATCACCCATGTTTACACAGATTTTTGGTCACTTGTTTTATTCTTCTGTTGATTTTTAAGACCACATCAAAATCCTTTATTGATCCCACAACTGAGAAAGTCTTGTGTTTACAGCAGACCTGCTGCAACAGGCTGTCACCTGGAGGCGCCGTGTACGTATGTGGTTCCTCTGGGAATTGAACCCAGGACCTTGTTTACAGCCCTGGATTTATTACCTCGTCTTTGAACCATCACTACAGCACCATGGACAGAGAATGTGTTACATAAATACACTCCTTGATTTGACCTTGAGAAAAACACAGACCACTGTGATACGAAATGTGTTCCAACAGTGATGTGGGTTTCAGCACCATGGACAGAGTCGGCGGTGTTCCGTCCATGGCTCTGAAGTCGTCACTACAGTGTGGTCGGTGAACCTGTCTGTGTCTCTGTTTACCAGTTAACATCATAACAACAGACCTGTGTGTCTGTACTGTCTGTGATCATCAAGTCCCTCAACAACAGTCACCAAGTCTGTGTGAAGAATCCAACATCCCAACAGAACCAGGTCCACACGTCCTGTCCATGTCAGGACCTGTCGATCACAGCTCTTCACTCCTGAAGTTCTTCTGCTGGTGACTCTGGTGTTTATGTCAGTCTGTGTCACCATCTTAGAGCAGGTCTGTGACTGGGGTCTGTGTTTATGATGAAGGTACGGACCCAGATTACAGTCTGTGTGAGAGTGTGAGGAGTGGACTGCCTCTGTCCATGGTGCTGAATCTGATCTGGCTGCGAGGAGTGGACTGCCTCTCTCCATGGTGCTGAATCTGATCTGGCTGCGCATTAAAATCCACACAATAAAACAAGTCAGTCAGGATATCTGTGTAAACATGAGTGATGATGTCAGCACCGTGGGCTGTTTCTGCGTCTGGATTTCAGCACCATGGACAGAGTCGGTGTTTTGCTGTGTTATTTCTGATTTAACGCTGCTCTGGCTGGAAACACACAGTGAACAGCCATCTTTTCTTGGCCTGAAAAGGAGGATTTTTTTTTTGTTTTTGTTTTCAGTAAAACAAAAGTCACTGGATGAAAAAAATAGTTAAAATGGTGAAACGTGTTTATGTGGTTCAACAGAAAGAGGGTGTTTAGTTTGTTAATTTAGTTAGGATTAGGGTTATCATGGACGGGAGGGTGTTGGGGGGGGGGTGAAGACCTTCTGTGTCACCAGTGGTTTCTTATGAAAACAACCTAAAACCTGTACCCTAACTCCTTGACTTAAACCCCTGACTGGATCTTGACCCAGTCAGAACACGTCTCTGGTTCTTCAGTTTTATTTTACCTTTTTTTCACAGTTTCTGTCAATGCGCCTTTAATCAACAGTTCTGTTAACGTGGTTTTGTTTTAGTTTTTTTTTTTACCTGGCTTTGACGCGTAAACTCCTTCTGCACCACACTGACGACTGGAACACGAAGCGCCACCGACACGAAGTCCAACTTCACCAGGTCGTCCCGGTTCCGCGGAAACGCCACGATGGCAGAAACCCCCTGCACGACCACCGTGTGACACACGCTCTCCAGGAAGGACAGCGGGTCCTCGTTGTCCGGGCTGCCCGCGGAGGAGAAGGAGAACGCGGGCAGCTCTCCGAGCCCCGCGCCCACAGCCATGACCAGCTCCAGAGACAGGTTGTAGGGCAGAATCCCGGCCCGGTTCAGTGCGTCTGCAGCCAGCAGAACCGAGTCCCGGGGCGAAAAGACCCGGTTCTCCCTGTAGGAGTTCTCCTCCCTCTGCCGTGCCTGGTTCTTATTCCTGTTGGAGCCTCTAGTCCTCAGGTGTCCGTGTCCAGACGCGCCGCTGCCGCCGCCGCCGCCGCCGCCGCTGCTGCCGCTGCCTCTGCTCTTTTACCCG